TAAAACTAATAACCCTTAGTATAATGAATAACCTATGCATTTGTCATTGGGTCTGCTAAACAAAGCTTACTTAAGGAATTTGAGGCTGAAGAGCCCTTTCACCTGAGGAGTACCTCATCTGCCTTGTCATTTGTAACCAAGTATTAATAGGTGCTGTGACAAAAATGCCCTGTGTTCAAGAAGTAACTGAGTGACCAACAATAAAGAATTACAAGGAAATGTTTTCTAAGGATTTAGATGCTAATTAGGCCTCTGTTTGTAGTGAAACTTTTTTTGAAGGAAGATGCATGTTCATTTTCTCACATAAGTCCTGGTCTGCTTGCGGTCTGGTATTCAGCAAATTTGTCATGTTTTTGGCACTACATAAGTTGTAGCAGTGTAGCACGAGTACTTTATAAATAGTTTTTCTTCTTTAGTACATACATCCTATCTTTTTCGTGAGAAAAGGAACAAATAATATTTTAATACCCACATGCCCTTTTTACTGCAGGTGCAAAGCAAGTGAGTTAAACCGGAAAATAGGTCTGTTGCTAGCATCTGTCACAGCAAGCCCCACTCTCTGTTTAATGGAAATGTTAAATGCTTGAAACTAAACAGCTGTTGTCAGGAGAAGAAAAATACTGAGGGATCTTCCTATCCTGCCTTGTTTCCATTAACTGTTCATAAGGACAAAGTATGAGCCTAAAACTGAAATATGTTTGAAAATGTTACTTATCTGCATAAAACATACAGCTTGCTTGCTGTTACACATGGTCCCTCGTACATCCGTTTTTGAAGATCAGCTAAATCAGTCATAATTCTTGCCCATAAAGTGCCTTTGAGATGAAAAGGAAAATGACCTAGGAGTTGGAGTTTCAAAACTCTTGCTGCGTTTACCTGTATTCCCACCTTGAAATGAATAGGTTTTGTGCTGCATTATTTAATTGCGGAATAGAACCAAGATTCTGTATAATAAACAGTTTGATATTGCATAAAGAACAAGTTTACACACACAGTTCTGATTTTCTTCTTCCTCTTTCATCTTCCTTTTGTGCTGTTTTCTTCCCCTATTTATGTTTGCTTACATCATTGTATTTAAATTTTAATTCATGGTAACGTCCTCACAGAATAAAAAAACCAAACCCAAACCCCACAAAATGTGAGTGCTCTGACCCCTTGCTCATTGGAAGGGAACTCTGAGAATCCAGTCACTCTAGGTATTTGTCCTTTTTTTTTTTTTTTTTTTCCTTGAGAATTTCCCACTGCAGGCAGATTTCTTTCTCCTTTTGTGAGGAGCAGTGTATTCCCTGGAGGCTGACCTCCCTTCCCAACCTGATAGAAGCTGTGAGGCAAACCTGCTTGTCCATCAGCAGAGCGATCCTCATCAGTGCCTGCTGCAGCTATTTATGTGCTGTTAGTGTCTGGGGAGGCAGAGCAGGACTGACAGAGCTGATGAGAGGAAGCAGCCGAACAGGGCAATTTAGCTGATGCGCCTGACGGCCACGCACAACACACGACACGCTTGGCTGGCCAGAGCAACGCAGGCAGATCACTCAAAACTGACCGCTGGGAGGCAAGCACGTGAATCAAAATCAGTGTCTTTTTTTCCCCTTGCTGAAATCTAAATTGGTAGATTTTTGAAGTCTGACTTGACATTCTATTGTCTAGAATTTATTTTTGAGTTTTAGCTCTCGCTAAAATGCTATTATGGTTTGTAGTGCGATGCCCTGCATTCGCTTAAACACAGGTTTTTCTGTTCTGACTTAGCCCCCAGGCACGCACAGCGAGGCGACCTGCATTTCCTTAGTTTACTGTGTTAGTAGAAGCACCCTAGCAGTGCTGGCACAGATTCCTGCTCTAGGTACAAGGCCAAAAGGCAGTCTGTTTAGCTTCTCGTGTTCATTAACCACGTCCCCCTTTTTCCACACTAAAGTAAAACTGATGCTGCAGACATTATAAAATGAAAGGTAAATTTCATCTGTGTTTATGCTTGATAACGAAAATGCATTTGGGAGGAGGGAAAAAAAGAGCTGCTTCTAGTGGGTAGTGTCTAAAACTTTTTTTTTTTTTAAACCAGGATGATGACAACACTGTACCTTCTGCTCCTGATCCTCCAAGTCTCCTCTTGCATGAGCGTGGAACAGGTTTCTGCTTTGATTCCAGGTACATGTTAATCATTTATTAGCCTTTAATGGCATGGATGTTTTTATATAATGGGATGTTTTTACTCAAGGAGGGAAACGGAGATGAAAAACTATTAAGGATTTTCAATGAATGTTTGGCTTCCAATTAACTATCGGAGAATATACTGTTAGAATGGGAAGACTATTTGAATTAGACCTTATTTTGGCAGAATGTGGACAATTGCTTCAGTAAATGAATGAATTTGGTTTTTCCCCTCTCTTTCCAACCTAATTGTGAACCTAAGTTTAGAGCTTTTATAAAGTGTTATGTTTGCTAAGAGCAAGCATTTATGAGCAGGGAGAGTGGTTTCCCATGAAACTGCTTGGCCATTAAGACATTCAATAGATTTGTATTCAGTGGTAGCTGGAATTATGTCAAAATTATGTAGCTTTTAAAATGCCAGGTTATTTTGGAATTCCTGTGTAAAGTACTTTATCGAGCACTTTCAGCAAAGAAGCTTAAATTAACTGTACAATACTTGCTTAGATACATAGTCTGCTCAGATTTAAGTTTGTGGTAACATTTTGAATGTCAGTGGCAACAGGATCTTCCTTTTACTTTTCTTCCTTCTTCAATACCAGATTAAATAACCATTTTCTTTTTTCTTTCTCTCCGCCTCCTCATGCAGCTTTGATGTGCACAAGAAATGCCCTCTCTGCGATGTGATGTTCCCACCCAACTATGATCAGAGCAAGTTTGAGGAGCACGTTGAGAGCCACTGGAAGGTGTGCCCCATGTGCAGCAAGCAGTTCCCGCCTGACTACGATCAGCAAGGGTTTGAGAGGCACGTTCAGACGCACTTTGATCAGAACGTACTCAATTTTGATTAAATCCTTTTGTTTTGCAGTGTAGCTTAAAAAACCCCAACTTTTGAGTAGTCCACCTATGGAACAAAGCCAGTGCAGCTTTTCTGTAACACAGTGCAAACTTCTGAATAAAAGCTAATGTACTCTAATGGGAGCCGTGGTCAGTCGTGGCTGTGAGCTGCTATCGGGTTATCTTCCCTCTCTACCTAACATTATACTAAAATAACTCCACAGCCCCCCCACCTTGTTGTGTATGTAGCTATTGATTCCCCTACTTAGTGGAATTTGTAAGGACACAGGAATGACTCAGCCTCAGACAAAACGAGACCCGCTTCATCATGCTCTTCTGCTATGTTAAAAAAGGCCACCAAACCACCTGTGGTTGCTCTTGACCATGGTAACTGAGGCATGATTAGAAGTGTAATGAACAGGTGTTTCTCCTAGCAGATTTGCATAGTTTTTCTTTGAGTAACAGCTCAATTGGAAAGTTACATTACCCAATGAAAATATAGTTTTCTAGTACATTTCTGAAATGTAGATGCATGTACTGTGAGATTACATGCTTGCAACAAAAGGAATGGCAACTGCTTCGGTTTTGCATACAGAATGTTTGCCTTAAGGGGTACTGTTACATTAAGTACCTTACACCTTAAGGCAGTATTTTTGAGTTGAAAGAAACTGCTGTGCTTAAATGCCTAAAAGTAATTGTTTAAAAATCCCATTGCCATTATGTTGCAGTTGCAATCAGTAGAAAATATTGTTATATTTTCACAACAGTGAATTGTGTTCCTTTTGGCTTAGGGCTTTTAAAACCTTCTGCATTTTAACTTTATGTATTTCTTTCCAGTAAGTAAAAACATGTGTGTATATCTAAACATTTTATATTTACTTTACTGTATTAAGTAAATTTGCTTTCCACGTGTTGTACAGTAGTCTTGTTACATTAAAAGCAAAATTATTCACGGAGTCAGTGGTCCTTCTTTCCTGCTGCTCATTTTGAGTAAGACAGTTCAGGCTTTACGTACTTAGAGCAAATGATGTTTCAGCTCTGTCTGACAGAGAAGCTGTTGTTTGCATCTATTTATGATGTTCTTTGTTTGAGACTTGGGGATTAGTTTTGAATAGCTTCTGTTGTCTGTAGTTCTCTCCTGAACGTGTGCAATATCCTGTTCGATGCAGGATTTATTAAAAGCTGCACAACACAGATGAATTGCAGTGTCATGGGTAGCTGCTACTCCCATCAATCCTCTGTTTTCTGGTTTAAGTCTCAGATTTTTTTTAAACTGTGAACTTCATGTCAAGAGATGGTCTAAGGCATGGGAGTACAGAAAGAATATTTTGTCTTTTTTTTTTTTTCTTACCATAACCAACTCAACAGCATATGAAAACAGAACAGACTCTAAATGCCAAATATTATCAGTTATTATTAAAGATGTGGGGAATCTTGGAGATTGGTGTTCCAGGCAGGCAGGACAACCTCAAAACCTGACTGTGCCAAAGCGGGACTGCTCTTAGAGGGAATTTCTAAAAGTGTTTGCCTGTGAAACAGCCACCCTGACATGGCTGCTTGCCTAAAACGGCCTCCCCAGGGAGTTTGCAGGTACATGACAGAAGCCAAATGCCTCTACCAAAACCTCACTGAATTACAATTTTAATGATTTCTCCTTTCATAGTGATGGCCACTTCACTGCCGACAGCCTTTGGAAGGAAGGTACCCCACGTCCTACCATTTAAAGGGGCTTCTCAGTACAAATCTTACCTGGTAACCTGAGCCCTGTTGTGATGTTGGAAGGAAACTGTGTGTGAAATCTGGAGTCTTGGTGACTGATAAAATATGGTGGTTTTTGTTTTTTCCTTTCCCCTCCAGGCTGTAGCATTCTGTGGAATTCTGTGCATTAATGTTGTAGTGCTCAAGTTGTTTCAGGTGTTTATTGAATACAGAGTTTGATACCAAAGTAAGATATACAGATAAAAGTCTATATGCAGCCCAAGAACTTAACTCTTTGGGTTAGTGACGAGTAAAGAGCAGCCTTTTTAGGTCAGAGGCAGTTTATTTTTAAATGTGATTTGATTTACATTTATAAGCAGCTTTCTTGACAAGAATTCTTTAAGTTGCCTTCAGTTCTAAAACAAACCTCTGTCACTTTCAAACTTAAAGTACTTTGTCCCCAACAAAACATATGAAAATATAATTTAAAGCACACTTTTCACAGACACAGTACAATACATTCACTATACACAGTATAACAAAATAGTCCCATCTTTACCTGTTTAATAATACTGTCACAATGAATAGGTAAATAGAAACTGGAATTTCATTTTTATAGTTGAAAGGAATTTACATGCAACAATGACGTTTTACGACTGTTTAGCTGTTGAACAAACTTACCCAGCCTGTAGTTTCTTGCACTAGGAGCAGAGCCAAATGTATTTGTTGGCCAGATTTGTTGCCAAAGCTGCAGAAGGTGGGAAGGGGCCACCTGGGGCCCTCTGTGTGCTAGTGACTCTCATGTCTGGATCATCCTTTAAGCCCAGCTGACAGCACTGTACAATGCAACAGGCCCTGTCGCCTCCCTGGGATCTGAAAAAGTTGTGGTTTGTTCCTAGGATGATTCCTAAGTGTTTGAACAAGACTTGTACTCTGCTAGAGAACAGGTAATTGTCATCCTTACAGAGTTTTCATTTAAAGCTTTGGAAAAAAAATAAAGGGAAAGCTCACTCTTCCTTTAGCTGAGCTTTCTTTTGCACTTAAAAAGAGCAGGAACTAAGCCAAGGCAATGACTGTGCTGAAATGTTTCTGGGGGTGCCCGCCTCCGCTCCCCCCAGCTGAAGGCCAGGAATAGCACTTGTGAGAGAAGGCAGTGCAAGGCAGGATGGTAAGCAACAAACCTTCAGGTATGGTCCAGACACGAAACGCTCTCATGTTGGCTTAAGTCGGTCTCTGACCACCTGCTGCAAGAAGCACTTAATCGTCAATAAGGCTCATATGTCATATTTCAGCAAAATTAATGGTAAAGCTAAACAGACACTTGCAAATGGAATGCAGTGACCTACAATGAGAAGCAAAAAATGCACAAAGAAAATCTCAAAATACAATGAACATGAGGGAGCGGCATTAGAAACTCCCTTAGCACAAATAATGGACCTCCTCAAACCATGCGCAGAATTTTTAATTTTTATTTGCAACCACAGGCACATGCTCGTACAGTAGTTGCAAGAATTGGCAAACACATAAAACATTAAATCTGTTGGCAATAGAGAACTACAAAGTGCTTTAAAACTTCATCTGAGATGAAGATAATTGTTTCTCACACACACATAAATTTGCACTTAAGTATTTCCAAGTGTCTTTCTAACAGATATTTCAGGGGTAAATACTTAGTTGGACTGGGATATTGGTCCTCAAAAGTTTGATGGGCATGAACAAAATATGATGTCTTGTACAAAAAAAAAAGTAGTAATTTCTAAAACTAAAGTGATTGTTTACTAGTTCGAATGGCAAGATTTTCAGCATTTCAAGAGGGAGAAAAAAAAAGATTTGCAAGATAATATAAAATACAGCAAGCACACCTTTTTATGTATGTTATTTAAGTATGAAAATATTTTTAGCATATTATGTTAAACATTCTTTCTTATTTATATTTCCATTACCTAAAAGACTTGCTACTCCACTGATAACTCCATTATGTAAGGCATGTTAACTATAGTTTGACGAGGGTGGTTTGTTTTGGTTTTGCACACACATTGACAGATGCAGTGAAAGTCTTCATCACGTTACAATCTTGAAGGGATGTCAGTGCCAAGCTCTCCTCCTCTCACTCCTATTCAACACGTCAGTACAACTAAATACGCAACGCCCCCCCCTAATTTTTTGTTTTGGAGAAAAATGTTCTGAAGAACCTATAGCTTTTATAGCACCTTATCTCAAAGTAATGAAAATGGGTATGATGATTACATGTGCAAATGTACAAAATCATTAACTCTACAAAGATACATCATTCCAAAATTACAGAAAATTTTAAAGCATGCATTTAACTTTTTTAAAGGGTTGCTGAATGCTTCCCCTGAAAAAGGTGGCTGTTCTCAAAATCAGCAACTGCTGGTGAGGATTTCTTGGCACGTTTGTGACCAGCATGTTATTGCTGCATCTTCCTGATAATCTCAGCAGACACGGGGGGATGGAAATTGATTGTGTGGTGCCGCAGGCCCTGAGCTGTCTTGTAACTCTTTCCACAGCGACATTTGAAAGGTTTGCGTACGCGGATTTGCGTTCTGTGGCCGTTCTTGGCATGGTACTTTATACCGTTCACATTCTGTGAGTGAGAGAGTAAAACGTTAGTGGCTGAATGGTCTGATTATGATTTAGCTTCCAGTTAAAAAACTGAAAAATTCATTAATGTTGTGGGCAACATCACACAAATTGCCAGGAACTCCCTGTAGGTGTTATGCATGTGTTGGGCTTTCAAGAAGGAGAATAATCTCTGCAATTCTAATGTATGAAGTTTATATTAATGTTTTTATAAAAACATTAAATAATGTTTTTTTATTTTACCTGGGCGATCCTGTTTTTTATCTCCCAACATACAGCACATTAAAAAAAAAAAGACCATTTAACGGGCTTGGATGTTCTTTGCTTCCTGACATTTTTTCATACAGCACTGACAAATTTTATTCAGAGGTTCATTTACAAGCAAACAAAGAATTGGCACGAAGACTTGAGTCACACTTCTTCAAAAAGCTGAAGCTCCCCCCATGGTGTTTGTTCCGTTCTGTGTCATTGTTTCTAGATATGTCTTTAGGCACCAGCAAATTCTGATAGTTTACACATTGTCTCCAAAGAATTAACTGCAGGGAACACTTAACTCAAATTGTTACACAGGGCACTTAGAAAATAATCCAGAGAAGCCATCTTCAAAATAGCTATTGTTTGGGAATATGCTACAGCTGAAAACTGGGGAACTGATCACCACTAGTTTGGCGAGAAAGAGCCAAAGACCGGCACTACAACACACCGTTACATTGGCAAGGTCAGGAAACGGGCAACACTTTGCCTAGATTAATCAAGAACCTTACTAAACATAAACCAAAATCATACCCCTGTCCTGTTCACATATTTTTGGCAAAAATGGAAGATGATGTTGTGGTCTCAACAGCTGCTGTGATACTGCTTTATGCAGGATTCGTCTTAATTGGAGTCTCTCTTACCTGCTTCCCCTAAAAAAGCTTGGATTTTTGGACAGGTAAGGAAAGGCAAACTGTCTTTCACCAGAGCTTCTCTTACGAAGAAACCAAAGAAGATGCCAAGACAATCTGTGACAAAAAGATGCAGTTCTGAGGCTCTACCATGTCCTCTCTATATAAAAGATTCCAGATACATATCTCAGGGTTTAAAAAAAAAACTATTTAAAAAAAAATCTAAAATCAATTAACAGCCTGGATATTAATTAAGGCGCTAAATTAAATTTTAGAGATTTTGTCTTTGCTGAACCACTGCCTGGTGTTACACATAATAAAAAGTCCTTGGCTCTTCAAGCCACAAGTTCAGTTTTATCAATGCGCAGCTTACAGTAAGTAAGTGGAAGCTTCACCTCAGAACTCCCAGCAATTAGATGAGTTAGACGTTGGTTTAAAACCCCCCAAAAAATGAACAAAAGGAAAAAGCATTCAGTAAACAGAACAGAGCTAAAACTCCTAAAACTTCAGAAGGCTCTATATCCATCCCAGAAAGGCATGAGATTAACACCTTCAATACCTCCCTACTGCCACTGCTGCCCTTTCTCCTCTGCCTCCTAATTCAACTTATCTGAGTCAGAATCTCAAATGTTTTGTCCCACTCCTGAGAGAGACAGTCCCCCTGTGTTCTGCCCTCCACTGCCCTGCTCTAACCACAGCTCCACACAGCAAGCAAATGAAGTAGAAGGAGCTTGCAGCTCCCATCAAGAAACTAGAGAAGAATGTAATTGCAAGGGAAACCACCCAGTCTCCCAGATAGCTAAGGTGTTCTCAGCTTACAACGTAAAATGCAGGTCCTTATTTATTACACGTTAACTGTGCCATGGCAGCAATGTATTTTTAATCCTTAAGCAAAAACAGTTCTCCGGTTTCAATTACACAGTTGAGCATGGTACTGTCCTCGTCAGAACTCCTAATGCCCGGTGTAGTCTGTGCTGCTGAAATGGCCTTTCAGGGCAGCTCGGGTGTCTGGAGGGGTTGATTGGTGGAAATTTGTTAGAAGAAAAACTTAGCCTAGAATATCCACCCTGGAAAAAGAGTATGGTGCCAGACTGCAAGAACTGGCCTGCCCACAGATTCATGCTTCTCTCCAGAGCATCCAGGCACTGAATCCTCACTTGATGTTTTAAATTCAGCCCCCAAATTGTCCTTTACATCCTTAAAAATACTCGACAACTGCCCAGCTGTCATCTAAGAGGTGGGCAACGAGAATCTTCAGTCTCCCATACAAACCAGACATAAGAAAACAAGCCCTTAGTGCGGCTTACTTCTGGATGAAGAGTATTCAGAGGAGGCAGAATGCTGTACCTCCAAGACAAAGAGCCCATCAGAGCTACAGGCCATCCTCAAGAGCAGTCAGGAGAATTCCCAGCAAGTTATCCAAGATCCTGAGGCTGCTTTTAGCTGGCTTTGCATAGTTACAACCTTTAGCACCTGCAGGACTGTTGAGGCCGGGGATATCACTGGATGGCGTGAGGACTGTCATAGGGCATCTGTCAACATCCAAGTACTCATAAGGACCTTTGCCTCCAAAGAAGAGAAAATATGGGGGTCATCTGCTAAACTTCTGCTACTGCAGTGAAATTTGGGGATAACAAAGTTATTGCCAACCCCTATGGAAACTACAGAAACCTGTTTAGACTTGTAATTTTTGTAAGAAATCTCTTTAAGATACTTCTAAACTAGCATCAAATGCTACAGATGCTGTAAGTCTGTGATCACAAAGATCCTCACTATTCCATGCCAACAGTACTCTCCTGATGCAGATTTTTTTAATGATCCACTCAGCCTCAAGTACAGCGTACACCACATGCTTTGATGAAGGGGGAAAAGTACTTTCAAGGCAGAGTAATTTAAGGAAATGCTAAACCAGAAACCGACGTGGAAGGAATTGAGCCATAGAAAGTTTGAAAAATAATAAACCACAGTGAGTACGAGGAACTAGTATGATGTGAAATCTGACCTGTACTCCTGTCTAAAAGAAAACTGTTGGTAGAATTACAGTCAACTCTTCAGCACTTTTTCCACTGCTGTAATGTAAACACTTTGTTGTATGTCTGGGTTGAGTTTGTTGAGGTATGGCAAACCCCACTGCCAAACGCATACATCATTTTTATTGCTCTGGTTACTTAGGTTGCTCATTATTTACTTTCACAAATGATTGAGGAAGAAGATGGCAGTACAGAAGGGCACTCTGAAAACTTAAACAGAAGGAAACAATTATTAACCTGGGACCAGATCAGGAGGAGATACAGAAGTTCAGACTGGCACCACCTGGTCTGCATGGACAGGAGGGCACTTGCTGGGCAGGGCCCCTCGCACGGCAGTTCTCCTGAGGCCACCACACTGCAGAAGGTGTGGGAGCTGGCCACCCCCTTCACGTAGGTACACAGAGATCAAGGATGGTTTGGGAGGATTTCTTCTTTCAGGACTTGGACATTCATGTATGCTCTTCTGTCTCCTGGCTGTTCCTCCTGAAGTTTTCTTCATGGGTCCAGTTTCTCTTTGTTCAACTTGCAAGCTCTGGCTTACTCCTTTCTTTCAAGTAAATTCCCTTCTTTCCCTCTCTCACATCAATATTCTCCCTCCCTGAGCTCTGCTGAGCGTCACTGCTCCTAGATCAGCCTTCCCGCGCGTTTGCCCACTCAACAGGCCTGGGACCCTCATCCCATGACCTGCCAGAAAGACGAGACCAATGTCTTGATGTTCTTGGAAGGTACCACTCCTCCTCTTGCCCAAGGCCAAAAAGCAGTCGTGCCTATAAGCTACATTTTATATGTACAGTAATCTATTATTGTTGTGTTACTGCGTTTGCACAAACTAGAAATCTAAATTATGACAAATGCTCTAGTGTTTTCTCTAGAATAGTATACATGCATTACCTGTATGGGTATTTTTTGCATCTATTGCATATCAAACTTCATTTGCTCTTTGGAAGTTGCCCAAGTACGTTTATCTACATCATATACACATTTTGAATGTCCTTCTCCAGAGCTCAAAACTAAATAACCAACACACATAGGTAGTATTGAATAAAATACAAAAATTGCCAGCTTCATAATTGCCAGCTTCATAAATCCACACTTTAGTTCCTTGCAGTGGGCATTTTGCAAAGCACATTAAAAACTCAATACCCACAAGACTCCTGGACAGGTCATCTAAATGGAGATGTAAAGCCAAAAATTTGGTGAGGGTGAACTCTGAAGAAACAAGACTGAGACCTCTGGATTCCTTTAAATCACAGAGGTGATTTTTAAAAAAGTCAAACTTATGGCAAATGCAAATCACATGAAGAAAAAAAAAAATCCAGAAATGTCAAACTATAAAATAATTTGTTCTCTGGGTCAGTATCCATAATTAGAGAAGGAAGTAAGTTTCAGGAATTAGTTCAGAGGCTTTTTAATGTGTTTTAAGCATTTAGAAGTCAGTGTGCTCCAGATTCATTTACCTCTTTCTGACTATCCCACCGACAAATTTACAAATCATTAAAAAACCACGCTTTTTCCCCAGAATCTTTGGCCTCTCAAGAAAATCTGTGCTATACTATATAGAGGGCTTAGTACCAATACATATTAATGCAAATAAGCTATTTTATGTCTTAAAAAAATAAAGTTCCCGAAGAACAACTAAATGTTTATGACTCACTTCTACCGCACTGCCTATGGGAAACTGCCAAGAGATAGCAGCTGGGCCGGAGGCCAGCAGGGTCTTCTGATACTCATCTGGGCTTGTGTGTAAACACATTCTCATTAGTTTCCATTGTCTGCCCCAGCCCATTCCTTGGGAGTATTTGTTGTGCATGTTCTCCTCTTATTTACCTTGCCATAATGACTTTTCAGTGCAGAGGCCATCTTTTATCTTTGTACATTGTTTGCAAAAAGGAGCCCCATCCCTACTGGGTCTTTAAGTGGTACTGTAACACAAATAATATATCTAAAAATAACATTTCTGCTTCTCAAATGTACGTCACCTAAGGCCAGACAAAAGAAAACTGTGTATATCCTCCTTTCCTCCTCACTCCCTAAAGGAATGCATCCTTTCTCAGCCGTAAAGTAAGTCTGGCAATTACTGTATGTGCATGTCCCTGTTCCTGTTTGGAGCTCTATAATTGTTTTACAGCCCTGCCTGTGATTATCCAGTACCCACCAGAAAATCCCAGTGCTTTGATCACAGGACTCCCTACCCAGACTCTGCAAATAATTCATCAGAGGAGGGGGTTAAGCAGAAGGGAGATGAAGAGGAAACAAGAAACACAGCTGACACAAAGCTAAAAGGAAGGAAACAAAGCTAAAAATGTAAAAAGAAAAAAATTAGGCTGGAAAGAAAAAAGAGAGGAAACAGAGCCAACAGAAAAGAGAAATGAGGTGAGGCATAGTTTAGGGAAATGTGTTCTCCTATCAAGGCTAAACAGAGGTGAGTCTCTTAGGAAAAGACGATACTTTTTATTTGCTGCTGCTCTCTGTCAGCCTCTCTAAGGGTTGTTAATTTGTTCCCTGTCCGACTGTTCTAACATTAATGGTGTACAAGATATCCCTTAGACACTCCTCATGCATTTGAGATGAAGGTAGTGAGATAGCAGAAGCAGGCAGAAACAGCTTGCTTATTTGGGCAATAAAAAGACAGAGGGCTGGCAGTCAAACAGAGAACAGACAGGATATAGCAAATTACAGGGTTCTCCTTCTAGCCTTTGCCATTAAGTGAATGTTTTCTGCAATGCATAGATGCCCTGTGGGCACAGTGACTTCTAACAATCACCATGGCTTGTTTGCTTCCTGAGCTAGGGATTTAGCTTTTATATTATACCCTTCGTCTGGCACAACTTCCACCACATGCAAGGAAAGTATTAATCTTGAATAACGTGAGTATATCTGCAAAGTAATAACTTGCAAATAGTCTGAAAACATCTTTCCCTCTGCCCTGCCCGTGGAGGTGGTGTTTGGTTTTTCCTATAACTGAAGAAGAGAACAACCATTACATAGTTCAGGTTAATCTCTGCAAAAAAGACTTGTATGTCACCAAGAAATGAGCACACTGTTTCCTTGCTTATGTTTTCAGTAAGTAATGTTACTATTAACAGATCTGTATAGGAATCCGAGTCTTGTGATTTGCTGCTATGGGAGCTGCCATAGTCCACAGCAGCTGCAGCATCACTGAAACATGTTTTTGTCCACTACATGGTCTCATGCAGTTTATTTCTTCTTGACACAACTGTTTTATCTCAAATGTTACTGGTCTTCCTATAGTTCTCTTTCATATTTCTGTTCTCTTTAAAGTCCCTACTTTTCAGTTATTTAAAGAAGCAGCCATAAAATAAAACTAGTATAAAACGAACCCAACCACCACTGCTTTTTCTAGGGTATAGGTCAGTGGTTAATTTTCCAGTACTTCATGCAAAAACTTCAGAAAATGATTTAGAGGAACTGTGCCAACATGCTGTTTCTGTTCCCAAATGCCAATGACTATAGAATACCATACTGAAGCCCAAGCTGTTCAATACAATTTCATCTGTCTCTGCAGTGGTTCACATGAAGCAATACTCCTGTCCTCACAGAAGCACATTCTATACCAGCCAGCTCAAGGTTCAAAGTAAAAAGATGTTTCAACTCCCACAAACAGACAAAAATTCCTCATGATGGAGAGTAATTAAAAGGGCAGGGGGGGAAGGGAATTGTTTGCCAGCATGTCACGCAGAGGGCTGCAAGCCCTGCGTGCGGGGCCAGACATGCTGACAGATGTGCAGACACGGTACGGGGACTTTGACCCAGGACAGAACGATGCCAGAATTTCTCTGAGGTTTTTCCTTGCTGTGGTGACCTCTCACTTGCAAAATGTTAACCACCACCTTCTGCACATCACCTTCACCAGGAAAAGTATCCTGGGCACAGTCTCGCTAAAGGACCAGCAGCATCTCGAGCAGTTAAGCAGAAGGAATTCCTTCTGGGACTGATGGGCAGCAGCTTTTTATTTAGTGTCTTTGAAAGGGACTCAAGAGATTATTTTGCTGGTAGTACCTCCTGCATTCTGCAGTTAATCTGTCTAAATAATAGAAAGCTAGTTAAAATGTGTAAGGCATGAGTCACTATACGTAATCTCTCTTGACAGACAGGGATGCAAAAAGCTAGATCCTTTGTAAAACTGGTAACTTGGCTGTGCCTGAGAGGAAACCCATGAATAAAATATGTACTCTGCTAAAATACCACAAATATAAATGTGAAAAGTCTATTAAATGAGAAAGGTACAAATTGATTTTAGAGGCTTTTTTTTCCCCTCCCTCGCTACATGAGCAGGAAATGAGGTAGGTCTGCGCTGCTCCTTACCTTATATCTTTTTTTACATCCAGGAACAGGGCAGGCAAAAGGTTTCTCATCCCCTCCGTTCATGCACATTGAACTAAGGATAGCTTCAGAGCTGATAGCACTTTCTGTAGTCCAGGACTCATCACTGTCTGATTCTTCATAGTCTACTTCCTCTTCATCATATTCACTACCTAGAAAAGCGGGGTAGGGAGATAAAATAAGAATAAATAAGAGCACAGCAAGATAACACATTCTGCATTTATTACATCAATTACAATGACTTGTAATTTCCCCACTTTTGTCTTTGCTAGAAGACAGTTATTTTTAATTTTATAAACCTATCCTTCTTATTGTTATTTATTCCTTCATAAAGACACCAGTGCTTCTTTTTCTAACAACCAGGACTGGCATTATTAATATATCTTCATAAACTGTTAACTGCGTGGCACAGAAAGTTCAAAGGACTGATTTTAAAATGCAGTTTCAGACTCCTCAAACACCAGGATCCTTCTGTCCTTACCAGTGCCCAAACAGAAAATGTGTTTCACCCCAACTCCTGCAATTAAAGCTAAGAGTTTAAGGCTTTCCTTTATGCAATACAATACTGAAGAGCGTAATTCTACAGATCATAAACAGTGTAAAATAATATGTTGACAAGTCCTAATGCATTTACTAGCCCTTTGGAATTAATAGGAATTATAGCACAACATTAATAAGAATTATATTGTAGCAATTATAGTTGTGAAATTCATTCCCTCAGGTGTGGGGATAAATTGCATTGTGTGGCTGCCCCGAACAGACCGCATTATGTTCCAGATATGCTACGACAGCCATTTGAGCAGCTGGTGCTGAGTTTATTTATTATTTTTAATTGCAATAATTATTAATGAAATCCTCTGAAGAAGTTAAATGTGAAACAAGAGAAATTAGGAAAATAGAATTCCAACTATAAAAATACAGTTAAAAAAAAGCAGGGGAGGGAAGAGCCCCAGCTGATTAAAAAGAAAATATATGCACAGAGGGAGAGAGAGGGAAAGCTGAGGGAAACTTTTGTGGTGTCAGCAGGAGGTGGTGCTGTGTTTCCCCTCCCCTTTCTTCTTTCCCTTTCCCAGCTCTGCTAAATTTTATCCTTTCTGCTGAAAGACAATTTGGCTCCGAGTGCTGGAATAGCTCCCGTTATTAAAGACAGTTATGTGACACTTGCATGGCTCTATTCGCTTCCCTCATATGCCCTTTAAGTGCACGCCTCTAAAGCTGCTCTACACGCCGAGAAGCAAACCCAGACAGATGCCTCACAGCACTTTAAAAAAGAAACATCCCAACTGCACAGAGAAAACGCATGCTGCAATGTCCAGTGGGGTCTTTGGTGGTATTTTTTTGCTTTTGGTGGAACTAAATAACACACCTATTGTCTCAAATTTTTCCCTTGGGATTCCTCCTCCCCCAGAACTCTCACTCAGACTCGGCACCTCTCCATCACTGAGTAAAAACGCATGTCAACTGGTAGCTGCGAGTACTCGGAGCTCCTGAGCTTTAATCAGATACTGCAAGTTCGCTTACAGATGTCAGGCTATCCACGTTTCTTTCCTGTGGTTTTCATCTGTACAGGGTGGTACGCAGATGAGGAAAGATGGATGGTTTCCCACTGTCAACAACTGTCGACATGAGTGCACGCACACACACTCTGCAGCACATCTGGAAAACTCGGCCCTGCTGACTGCGATTCCTTATCCCACACCGAATGAGTGAAAGCCAAAGAAAGCATTATTGACCTCTTAAAATATTTCTGAACTCTAGGAACAGTTAACCTAAAACGAAGTTAAGAGTTGTTATAGTTTAATTAACTAATAAAAAAATGGAGGCAAAACCACAACTCTGCTTCTACGATTTCCTGCTCTTGATTGTATCTTGATGGAAAAAATTCCTCAAGCTGTTCCTTTCAAACTTTTTAGCTCAGTAGGGTTTTTTTTTAAAGAAAATGCAACAGAAAACCCTATTGTAAATACATGTATGTATGCCTAGGATGAGAAAATATACAACCATTCTAAACACTGACATACCAACAATTTCTGCCATTATAATCACACCCCCCACACCTCCTCCAAGCCCCCTCAAGAGGGGTTGATTTCCTCCCAAACAGGATTTTGTTCTCCCAAAGAAAACACCAGTTGAGACTGTGCGACATCTACTAAGGATATCACTACTTTTAGTGATAACAAGGAGCATGCTATTATAAAACAACAATCAGTCCTCTATAAAAATATGCGAGATGGTATATAAGGGAAAAGATACACAGAACAGCAGGGAGAAGCAGCAATCACTGCAATTATGCATTTCCCTACATTGTCTTGTATTTTCAGGGCATCTTTTTAATTTTTCTAATAATTTCATATAGTAATACCCAATTCTGTAACAACTTTTGCCAATGCTTCACTTAAAGGTAGACACACGGGAGAGAGACAGAGGAAACCAAAACCTGTGTGCAAACATCCGTGAGGTCAGACCATCCTTATGGTTTTCTTTTAGTTAGCTCACCTGAACAAAAATGCAAGATTTTGTGTAGTAAAGTGAAAAGAGTTGTTTAAACAGTATAAGCAAATGCTCCATTAAATCCAGACTTGTCACTACAGCTTTATAAATATGATGAGCTTATTCCAAGTATGAATAACCATATAAATATCTATTTCTTCTTGCACAAAACAGTAATACTAATGGTGCCAAGTACCTGAAAGGCAGATTACTTAATACAAAGCCAGAAGTGCAGTCTATCACCGCTTTTATCTAACAGTGTTCTACTGAACTCAATTGCTTCTACTCTCTTTAAAATAAAGAATAAAAATTTTAAAATCCTAAAATGTATTTTAAGAGGGCCCTGGTATAAACAAAATGCAAAAAACTTACTTTCTTGAAAAAAATTCATTAGCAATAAAAATTTATCCTTTAAATAATTATGTTGTTTCAGTTGCCATAGAAAAACAACACTGATTTAGTCAGGCTTTTAACTGATTCCGCCCCAGAATTTAATTTCCTCAGTTGTCAGTGTCTAAGAGCAGCAACCCATGTGGTGCCTCACTGATTGTGTGCAACACATGGGGTGGGCGGGGTAGGGGGGGGTAACAAAACGCACAACACACAGGTTGGCGCTGCTGTAATAAACAGCCCCTCGATGAGGTATTTTAATTAAGTACTGTAAGGCCGAGGATGGTGGTTTGGTGAAGCTGTTCCCACGCCGAGCAGGAGTCCCTGGCCCTCAGCTACACGTCAGGTGTACAAACTGCAACCCGAGGCGCCGGCTGCTGCTGGCTCCTTCGGGCAGCTTGCCAGGGTACCAGCAGTGTGCTCAAGGGGAAGCGCACAGCAGCGCGCTTTGATCAAGATACAGCTTGCTTGCTTTCTTTGTTTTTAAACTTGGTGTTTCACAATAATAATTGTAAATATTTACTTTTTTAAAGGGGAAAAAAAAAAAAGCAGCACCTTTGCATCTAACCTATGGCCTGTTCCAGGGTGTAACAAGTGCGTGACTTGGACAAGCATTTGCAATAACTCTTAGGAGAGCTCCAAGAGAGCTGGCTCACTGATCTCCACTTGGACGTTGCCATGCACATGGAAAACAGGACGCTCTGCTGGGGCACGTTGCCCTTCTGGGGGACCAAGCTACGTTTCTGTAGCGCATGTGCTAATGGCCTTACCGTTTCTCATCCTGCTTGGAAGGCAGACTGATCATCCCCCACCCAGTACTCAAAGGAAAAATACCAGAATTATGCTTCAGAAGCCTGAATAACAAAAAACTCCCCCCGAAATGCAGCAACACACATTTCTCTAAGGTAAAGCGTCTGAGAATCTGGAGGGGAAAGCTTACAGAGAAGCACATGCTTTCAGCAAGTACAAATACACAATATTACCGTGACTAAATACTAGTTCCACAATAGCACCTCTCTCCTCTGGCAAGGCCCTTTCTGAGGCTCCTTGCTAGCTCGTTGCTTTTTTACCATATCAAGTTGCATCATCTGGCTTTCATTCAGAGACCCTACATGGTTCTACCTCAGCCTAATGTAAACTCATTGCTTCATTGCCAAAATGATTCAGTGACATCTTCATAATATTGCCCCCGCCCTCATATGCAATATTCCCTCCATCCTGGCCCACAAAGCCATCTTCCCTCTCCTCACTCCAGCGGCTTTGCCCAAAAGGCTCACTTCATCCGTGCTGCACCCAGCAGATTAAAAAATGAAGCAAAACAAAACAAAAGCAAGGAAATCATGCTAGTTTGTTATGTTTTGTTTTCCCTGGAATTTTCCATGCTGAGACAAATGCCACTGCTCCTCGAAGAGGTGGACTCCACTGGTGGAGATGGACTTGAGGTGGGCATGGACTTGAGGTGGACACCACTAGGCACAACGCATGTAGTATGCCATACCGGAGCCAGGTATTACATGAAATTACTAGTTGTGAAAAGACAGAAAACATACAGGGTCACGAAATATTCCAGCAAGTTATTTATCTTAATTTTTACGCTGCATTTAAACACAACCCATGACAAACAAGAAATCTGTGTGTATCACAGCAGCTTTTTTGCCGAAAGTAAACACATGCACAGAAAGGGTTTATGATTACTGCCTGTGTGGTAAGAAGTCTTTGTAGAGTGATGAAAAGCAAAGTTGCACCATAAGGAGTTGTTCCACCTCTTCTTCCAGTCAGTTTTCCTATCAAAATCAGTGAGAACATCACTTAATCCTACAGCAAAGACCTCACCTCTTGAATGCCCATTCACTACTTCTTCTCTTTTCTGGTAGATAAATTCAGTAATTTAAATAGCTCAGAAATATTTTGCAGAGAGTTAATCATTTGACATTCTGAAACAGACTGTCCTAGCTACACTGCTAAAAATCTAGAGCCTTATCTTTGAATTTTCTGGGGTTTACTTGGTATTCACATCACTGTAGCCAAGACAAATTCTGCCTTTTGCATAGAAGAATTCATCCCACCATGAGATTTACAAAGGATTTTTTCCCTCAACTTCGAGTGAATCTTAGTTCTAAGCAGGTGCACATCATTTGTAGTTATGTCACTTTTTAAATCTAAAGACTTCTATACTGTGCCTCAAAATACAAAAAAGACAGAGCTGATTAAAACCAGCACAAGTTGTGTGTGCCATTACGATGAATACAATCTATCCTGACCTCTGATGAAG